GGTCAGAGAGGCTTTGGAAAGGTAGATGTTGGTCCTGAACTCCCAGAACTAATGCTTCACTTAAAACGCCAAGGACTTTTAGTTCCGAGTTGATGCTCAAGTCAGAGGACAGTTCTTATCCTGTAAGCACATGCTGTAAAGATACTAGATTAAGAATCAATGATGTGTGTGTTTTTCCCCATTTTTTGTTGGATGTGAATGACATGAGAAATAAAAGCTTATGGTGAAATATGGTATTCTTTTAATGACCCTGCTGTTGTCCTAAAGAACAACAAGTACTTTCTGGGTTGACTACTCCATCTAGTCCAGAATAGGACCACAAATGTTCTTGAAAAGCAAGTGATAAGCTTTAAAAAAATAATTTAATTCCCCCACACTGCAAAAAGAGTTTAAATTAAAATAGAAAAACCTAATGTTCTTTTATAAATGGAAATAGGCAAAAACATTACGTTGGGGTGGGCTGGAAAGATGGCACCCATGTGAAACACATCATAACTACCTGTAATTCCAGCTCCAGGGGATTCAACATCTGACCTCCACAGGGACCCGCAGTCATATGCACATACCCACACAATGCATACACATAATTAGAAATAAAAATACATATTTAAAAGAGATTAAGAGTTTAAAATTTCATTCAGTCTTTGAATGATTGAGTTTCTTTAGGTTAGTGGTCTTTGACTGTGACCAAAGGTTTACTTCAGTTTTGAACTACATAATATACGCTATAGGAAAGAATAATAGCCCAAGGATCAACTCTGGGTAGATTTTTATTTCAATAAATAACATAAAACCATAGCTTACTAGAATAAGAATATTTCTCAGGATAGGTTGATATCTCTTCTTTACAAAAATCCTCATATATAGATAGAGACTGCCGCTGAGTGAGAACTCTAGTTTAACAGAATCTTTCCTAAGTCCTCTTAGTGAAGAATTTGTTCATCAGTGTCTCCTTTGGATAATATATTTATGCAGTGCAGTTGAAGAATATTTTGCTTTTAAGATTTATTTATTTTGTGTATAGTGTTTCTGTCCTCATGTATTGCCTGCACACCAGAGGGAGGGTATCAGAATCAACTATAGATGGTTGTGAGACACGATGTGGGTGCTGGGAACTGAAGTCAGGACCTCTAGAAGAACAGTCAGTGCTCTTAACCTCTGAGTCATCTCTCCAGTCCCACACTTGAATATTCTTAATAAAACATTTTTTCTTTGAGACATGTAGTCTCATGTAGCCTACGTATCTCATGTATCCAGAATGGCCTCAAATTCCCTATGTAGTGAAGGATAACTTGAAGTCCTTATCCTCCTATGCCTACCTCCCGAGTGTTAGGAGTATAAACATGTGCCGCCATGCTTACTTGACGCATTTCTGGGGATGAAATCCAACGCTTCATGGATATGTGTGTGTGTGTATATAATATATTTTATATATATATATATATATTAGAGTTTTATGTATGCTTCATAAGTGCCCTACCACAGAGCCACACCCCTATGTGCACTTCTAGATGACAATATTTAATATTTCTTTCCTCCAAACTTTTTGAGTATGGTATGGAGGATTTTCTGAGTTAGGAGTGATTTTGGTGGGATTATTATTATCTTGTTTCATATAAAATCTCTATACTGGAGCCATAAGCTTCCATTTAAGGGAAGAAACATGCTGGCAATAGTAATGCTACTATTCCTTTATGCTGGTTGATAAAGGGTTTTACTTACAATGCCACCTCTACTAACTCCCATAAAACCTACAGGAAACTTATGGAAATCACAAACCTCTGTTGTTACTATGAAATGACCCAGAAATATCTAATATGAAATTGTCATTTCAAAAACAAAATCAAAAAACCTCCAGATCTTTTGATGGTATTAGAAAATATTCATGTACTATTTCCATATCCAGTCTATTATAAGAAGAAATTTTAAATGTGGGGCTCAGTGTTGTGATGAAACAATTAAGTCCCTGCCTGACCAGCTGGCAAAGCATGAAAGGTTAGAAGCAAGAAAAGGTTATCTTGTTTTTGTTTTATTTTAAAAGAAGGGAAGAAAGAAAGAAACAGACAAAAGGGAATGAGAAAAAGAGGAAAGAAAAGAGAGAGAGGAGAGAAGGAAGGGGAAGAGTTTCAATGAATTCCACAGACAAAACCAGCTCAGGAACAAATGAGCAATTGAGAGACAACTTGGAATCCTACGCCATCCATGTGTGCCGCTAATAAGCTTCTTTCTATGTCTGTAGCGAGTGGTGAGCCAGAGAACCAGTGGGCTTTCGGAACAAAACAGGTGACAAGGACAGAGCAGACAGGTGGCATGATTTTCCCCAAAGATGAGCTATTCCTTTTAAGATTCTTCCTGGGGTAGGCAGATGGGTCAGCTGTAACAACAGCCCATGTTAGGGACTCTAGTTCCAAAGCACACTAGGTAGAAGTACTCAGAGGATAACTGCTGGGATTGATAAGCATGGTTACTAGAATTTACAAAACTATGCAAAGCCATTCAGATGTCAAACAATTTCACCTTCTCTATACTTTTTCTCTTGTACTCTATTATCTGACCGCCTGACAGCCAGGGGGTCAACACTCCAACCTTTGCCAAGTCTGCTGTCCATCAAATGAAACGCCTCATCCTAAGCGGGCTTGGGGAGGTGATTGTGCCAAAATCTCATTTAGGGGCTTTTTTTTTTTTTTTTTTATTATAGAAAGTCTCCTTCCTGTTACAGGAATGTCAGGTATAAGCCAACAATGGAAGGGCAGATATTTGGCATAGGCGGTCTTCCTGGCACCCCTGGAGTGAAAGGTGGCTTGACATGGTGCCCTCAACAGACTTGACTTCTGAAGAAAGGCAGAGGAAATCATCATTATGGTTCATATGAAAACCTGGAGCCTGCTATTCTGGGTGATCACTGTTTGTACTACTCATGAAGCTCAAAGGGCAATCCTTGCCTCTATAAACTGATGCATGTCTAGTTCTTTAGTTGACAAGCCAGAAGACTCTTTAATGAATGCAAGCCATCAGTGTACCACGATGCCTGTGGCAGAATGGACTCTGTAAAGGGAAATCATATGTAACCTTGGGGCTATATTTACTTTTAAAATGCTTCTAATTATATTTAATACCAAGGCTATATTAAACATGAATTGCCATGGCATTAACTTTTTGAAAAATCATTTAGAGGGAATTGGTGTCATAAACAAAGAAATATAGAGGAGAAAAAGACATTTTTATGACTGAAGGATAAATAGTAGCCTTCCTTCAGGAGAGTAGATGCTGGGAAATCCTTAAGTCTGCACATAATATTCCATTTTTTCCCCTAGGCAGTGAAATACCAAGCTGATGGGGGACAAAGGAAAATCTCAGGAGGTTTTATGATTGGCAGATGATTCAATAGGGGCACATGTAAGGTGATCCACTTAGAGAGGGCCAGATATTCCAGAGTATACTTGCAGGCTGGTAAAATGATGATCTTTCAATTAAGACCCAGGAAAGAGCTCTAAGAAACCATGTGGACAGTCCCCTGAAGAGAACAACTTAGTGTCCTGCTATGGTTTTAAAAAAAGGCCAACAAAATGTTGGGCGCTGTCAAGAAGGAGGTTAAAAGACAAACAAAATAAATTTCCTTTTACAGAGAACCACAGGACATCTTCACTGGTAATGTTACATAAGCAGTTCTGATCTGCACATCTCAAGGACAGAACAGAGCCTAAGGGGAACAAAGAAGGGCAATTAAATCACCAGTGACAGGCCTGACAATCCAGAGTTATCTGAGGGACAAGGGACACGATGAAGATGCGGAAGAGGCTAGTGCTGCCGAATGCACGATGCCTTGCCTCGCTCTATCTCTTGAGCTAAGAGACGCCTTTGAAGTTTTTATTTCTCGTGGTTCTACTCTGTTTACACAACTGCCAGGGATGGTGGCCAGAGCAGGCAGGCTCCTCTGGGAAGTCCCTATTTTCCACCAGCAATTGGGCGAAATGTGAGCTGGGTGGGGGTAGGGATCAAACGTGTTCCCATCCATACTGCTTACTTTCAGTGAGCTTGCCTAGTGGACTTCTAGTCAGATTTACCTTGTCCACTCCCATTGGCAGCAGTAAAAGCATACCTGACCAGTCTAAATTTTTATGAATATGAGTTTAACCTCTCTCCATTCTGTAGGACTCTGAACCCCAATGGCCTTCAAACCAAACTGTCTGCCTATATATGTGTATGCTGGTTATTTGATCCTTAACTCGAGGTTAAAAAGACATTTGGGCTGGGGAGGGATATAGCTTAGTGTATAAAAGGCCCTGGGTTCTATCTCTGGCACAGAAACAGTCCCTCGTCTCCAATCCCCCATCTCTTCCTCTTCCTCTGCTTTCTGACTACACTTGGAAGGGCGTGTAGAGGTAGAAGGCAATAATCAATGGTAACTAACGGCCGTCAACTCTAATATTCATGCCAGTGGAGAAAAGCACATGTCTCCATGAGAAAACTGAAACATTCCCTGTCGGTCTGATGAGATGACACACATGCAAGACAGGACCAGTGAAGGGATTCCACGCAACAGTCTAAAAGCTTTTATGTTGGGATGGCCTTTATCATACTGTAAAGGAGGTTATGTCATACCTCTGGTCTCTGGCCCAACTGGTTAGTGCTCTCCAACAGGACGGTTAGCATGTTAAATAAGCATAGTGAGTAGTATCTACAAGCTATGTGAGTCAGGCATGGTGATGGCACATGCTTTTAGTCCCAGCACTTGGGAGTTTGAGTTTGAGGCCAGCCTGGTGTGCACAGAGGGTTCCAGGAGAGCCAGGGCTATGTAGAGAGACCCTGTCTCAAACAAAAACAAAAACAAAAACAAAAACAAAAACAAAAAAAACAAAAAAACAAGTAAAAGGTGTGTGAGCATACGATGATTTTTAGTTTCCAATTATTCCTTGAAAACAAGAATTGTGAAGACTGAAAAACATTGCACATTTCCGAGATGCAATCTACCTGCAACTAGCTCGGCGTTACTGCCATACCTTTCACAGATTTGATAGTACTTCTCGTCCTGTATGCCATCCTGAATGGGCACATTGACACTGTAGTACCGACCTTTTCCCAGGCCAACATCAGACATGTCACCTGTTCCTGTAAAAGACAGGAACACTATGATCAGGCATCAGGAACACGAGCACTAGAAAACACAAAGGACTGACTGTCCAAGAGCAATTTAGAAAAGCAAAATGGTCAATTAGGAGAACAATCTAACTTCTTCTAACAACCGTTCCTGAGGAGATGAAACTATGAAAACAATCCAGAGAAATATTTATTATAAACAATGTTGGGGGAAGCAGGAAAATGGGAAGGAAACTGAGAAATAGTAATTTACGTGAGATAAAACAATAAGAGCTAATATCACATGTAATTTGCAGTAATCAGAATTACATGTGGTATGTGATAAAATAATAAGTGGTCTGTCTGTTCACAGACCATAAAAATCACCCGAATTAAAAAAAAAATCTATCCATTGTCATTCCCTTTCTCACTGTCACTTGAAGTGATATGAGTCAAAATTGCACACAGACTAGCACAAATAAGGTGCCAACAGCATGGACACATATAAAAATAAGATAAAGAAGCATGTAATGGAATTGTAGAATCTAGACATGTAATGTACGGGGAGCATGCAGTTGACTTGCCTGGAAAGAATCCTGGGGAGAATTTGTGCAGGGACACAGTCATAACTTTGGATGTAAAACTGAAGGCATCTTCGACACCTACCAAGAGAAAAAAGTCAGAAGGATCACATCAGATCTTCAACTCCTGTTTTCAACACCTGCAAATCTAAATAAACAAGTAGCTATGGGAAGGAGGTGAGAGGAGAAGGTAGCTATAGTAATACATGACAGAGAAATAAGAGAACACAAGCTGCTGGTTTCTGATTTCAGTAATTACAGACAAGGTAGAATAGAGCCCCAATCCATGACAAACTGGAACTGAGCTTCCTCTTTCCAAGCGATAGGATGCCCAAGTTCACCCCGACGTCTATTCAAATCGCTATGAAAGAACCAAGAGTCCAGAACTAAGGCTCTATCCACAGAACAGAGTAGAGAAAAGTGGCACCAGCCAGGCGGGTTCATGGTCTGTTCTGTTTAAGTGTTTCTAGTTAAATTCCTGGGACTTTTTCAAAGAACTATAATATGGTAATCCTTTCAAATATAACTAATAAATCAGTGATTCAACTTTATTCAGTTAAAACTTAATGATGAGGTGCCTCTCTATAATGTAGACTTGGTTATAAAAGTGGGTAACCCAAAGACCCATGAGCACCAAGTAACTTACATTCCATCTTCCTGCTGAAAAATAGTCACGGTCCTGTCTCTTAACAGCTCCTGTATAGGAGGATGTTGCCTTCTGTTTATTTATTTACTAAAACAAATGTTTGTATTTTGGAACTGCTTAAAGGAAGTGAGAGAAATACAATTAAATTCTTGAAACCCAGGGTAGTAATAAAACTTTAAAGGAGCTTGCTGTTCGCCAACTTCAAACTGGTTTGGTGTGTGCCCAGAGTAGGGGGCACCTTCAGTTGTTAATAGCAGCTTTAAAACTGTTTTAAAGCCTGGAGGAAGATGGGGGGGGGAGCTTTTGTAGACAGATGTCTTCCTTCTTCTTTAACAGTCAGAAGATGACTAGATGCCTGGGAGATAAAAGCTGAGATTCAAAGTAACCCTCCAAAGCCACTAGTTAGGTGTTGGCCATGCTGCCCAGTGCTACCCTCTCCTCTCAGGGTCGCGCATTCATACTCAGACACTCTGAAATGGAAGGACTATTGGCGAATTCAGGTACTGTGTTCCTTTATATTTCAAACAAAGATATTGTCTCTGTGTTGACTTAAATGTATTTAAGTCTTTTTTAGAGGCCAACAGAGACCTTAAAAAAATATGAACTCTATTTGTATATAACAGGTATGTTTGAATTTCCCAAGCCTTGTGTTTTGCCCTAGGGAGGTAGTTAAAACCAGTTAAAGACTCCAGGCAGAAAGCATTAAGTAAACAAAATAAAGTAAATGAAAAGACCGTTTCAACAGAGGCAGAAGTACTAAACAAGAGCACTTTATGAAACTGCTAATGATTTATACACCCAGAAATGGAGCAATTTACATTTGCACCAATCCTGTATGCAAATTTCTGTTTTCTCCTGCGATGACTAACGCCGGCAGCTGTTATGTCTTTTAACTCTCAGGCAAAGGAATGGCTCTAAGTTGCATTTCTCTTAGTATTAGGGCACTGCACATCATTTCATGTGTTCAGTGGCCATTTGTATCTTATCTCACACTAGAAGCTACCAGGTGGGGTTTTAAAAAGAGTGGACTTTGAAAAGGACCTAGAGAGGCAGGGGATGTGGAGCTGGTATCAAGAGGAGGGAGGTTAGGTGGGGAAAGGTGAGGGTGGGGGCAGGAGGGGCCAGTGAAGCCACCCGCAGGATGCTAGTGGTAGAATCATGGGAGATTTAAAATAAAGCAAATGTGTAAGAATTCTGGGGTAGGGCAAAGGTCACTGGAAGGGAGGTGCTGAAGAGGGAAATAAAGTGAAATGAAACACCCCGTAAAAGTTGGCTGAAACAGGAAACTCGAAATGGTGTAGAAATAACACTGCGAACGCAAAGAACGGTTTCAGGTGACAGTCTTCTTTCACCCTACATGGTTTGAGCTCTGGTACTAATACTCTGAATTCCATCAGCATTTATTCATTTACAAAACAAATATTTTATTGAGCTGCTACTATATGTACAGTACTGACAGAAAGAAGTAGACAATTTGATCGCTGCTCTGGGAGAACTTAGGCTTTCTGTAGGAAGAAAGGATACTTTCTTTGAACAATAAGAAGAGTACAACACGAAACAGTGACTAGCGATAGGAACATACAGGGCTTCAGCCACACAGCACGCTCTTGGGCTGGAGTGGTCAGGATAACCCACTGCTGTTGGAACCGGAATGAGTAGGGTAGAGTTTAGGGGTACAGTGAGGGAGGAGGTGGCTAAACTAGGGAAAAAGGAAGCGAAGTCAAGGAGGTACAGTTAGAGAAACATGTCTGGAACACTGAGATGTGCTTGCTGAACAGAAAAGTTGCAAGAAATGGTTAGAAAGACGAGGGGAGGCCGATTTGAGGCCTTGAAAGGTGAGATAAAGAAAGTCTACTTTTTCAAGCCAGGCAGTGGTTGGCGCACACCTTTAATTCCAGCACTCAGGGAGTGAGAGACAGGAAGATCAAGTTCGAGACCAGTCTGATCTACAGAGTGAGTTCTAGAACAGCCAGGGTTACACAGAGAAACCCTATCTTGAAAAAAAAAAACGAAGAAAAAAAGTCTACTTTTCCATAAAGAACGTGGTTTTCAAGGTGTGACCTGTAATACAACTGACGTACTTTCAGAGTACAGACTACGTGAGTGACGTACTTAGTCTGAGTATGTGATACCTGGGGCACAGCAGTCAGCACATAAACTCCCCCAGGCCACTAGATGCACAATCATGCATGAGAACCATTTCTCTAGGCTAGGAGTCATCAAAGTACATGTGGCTAGACGGTAAACATCCTAGATGCCCTAAATGATTTATGGCCCCCGCACACATTTATATACACATAGACATATGCATACCACCAGGAGGTGGTGGCACACATCTTTAATCCCAGCACTCAGGAGGCAGAGGCAGGCGGATCTCTGTGAGTTCAAGGCCAGCCTGGTCTACAGAGTGAGTTCCAGAACTACATAATGAAAACCTGTCTCAAAAAAAAAAAAAAAAAAAAAAAAACAAACCAAAAAAACCAAAACAACAACAACAACAAGAATAAAAATGGAAACCCATTTTTGGCTCACTGGTCATATAAAAATAAGCCACTGTGACATGTTGCCCCCTGTAATGGGTACTGAAGAGGCTTTGAACATTTTAAATCAAGGCTGTGTCTCACTCTGGCAAGTAGTGAGAAATTCATGGAGAATGGTTCTCAGTGTGTGTGGTGTTTGTTTTTAATCCTTTTCTGTTATCTTTAATTCTTTGTTTCTAGCAATGTACTCCTATCCCAGGATTATATATGTTGGTAACACAAAGAAAGTGATCAATCCATGAACTGATAGCCTGCAATGAAAACCCCCAAATGTTGGTCCTTCCTATAGCCATTGTACCTTGAGAGAGAAGATCCTCACCTCTAACCCAAGAGCTCCCCTAAAAACCCATTCAAAGGCCCCAAAGTGCTTCCTGGACATTGGAGTAAACACAAGTGAGATCTTCCTATCCTTCCATTTTCTATTATAAAGTTTAGCTTCAGGAGACAGGAGAGAGGACATGACAGGAGCCTGCCCGGCTTGGGCGGGAGAAAGGAATGGTTTCAGTCCGAGGAATCTATGCACCACCTAGCCCAGAAATGACAATTAGGGATATTTCAATAGCATTAGGCAATTCTCCTTTTATTAGTTGCCTAGAAGTAGCTTTATTGATCAAAGCCTGCTATCCTAGTAGTAAAGTATCTTTGAAACTGAGGGCTTACCATCTCCATGGTGCAGATCCAAATCCACATAGAGAATACGGTCAAATTTCCGTCGCAATCTTAATATTCCCAGGACAGCATCATTGAGATAACAAAAACCAGATGCTTCATCTCTGCAAGAAAACATGTTGCTACAGCCAACAACCAAAAAGCAGTCCAAGGGAGTCTTTACAGCCAAGCATCTAACCTTTGAGATCTAGTCCCATAACCACCCCCATGTTTTAAGAAAAACAAATTTCACCTATAAGGATTATATAGTGAATGGCCCAGAATGATCAGAAAGTTGAAGTGTTGCAACAAGGAAACATTCAGAATGATTGGTGATGTTTTCCTACTCACAACTCCAGTGGTTTCCAAAGATCAGACTATTGTAGTTAGAGTGAATAAGACGATGTTTCTATGACAATTAGGGGATCATTTAAAAAAACAATCTTGTAGTCCCCTGTGGTCATGGTCCCCTGGGGTCATGGTCCCCGGGGGTCATGGTCCCTTGAGGTCATACCAATAAACACTGATTTCACTAAGACCTCGCTGGGGTCTTAAAGACAAGTTTACAGAAGATGGAGACTGGGTTCTTTGAACAGACTCTATGTATACCCCACAGGTTGGTCATTTTTTATTGTAATATGCCTTGGCACTTGTTAGTCATGAGAACTCAAAGTAAAACAGACAAATGCACAACGCTTTGGGCACAGCGATGTGGCTGCTTTCTAAGAACGCAAGTTTACAATGAGGAGTGCAGGAGCCTCTACTAAAGGTATCTGGCTTCACAAAACTGCTGTCACTGATCTCACTGGCGCCCGGTGACTTTTCTGTATTGCTGCTATCACTTTAGCCTCTTATCAACATGCACTTGCTTTTTTATTACACTTTCATTTGAGCCTTTCTGATTCGGTATAAAAGAACACTATTTATCAAGAGTGTATTAGAACTTATTTTAAAGCATCATTCCACACGCCAGTTTCTTTTGTTTCCATAGATACTTCAAACATCCAGATCCTGCCCCCTTTCTGATTTCCATGAGATTTTATTTGACACAAAATTCTACACATAGACATTTGAAATGGCACCATTGCCACTGTGAGAAACCTTTCTAGTGTTTACGTAATGTAGAAAGTTTTGTGAAATCTTCCACACTCCAAATGATGCCCTGGTTCACATGCTGAAGATGATGAGCAGCGAGTTGGTTAAAAAAAAAATAATCACTGGACACTGCCTGTGCTTCACCGAGGGAACACAGCAATTCTTCTAGCTAAATGGCTTGTTACTAGGTATGCAACAGGGAAGAAACCAAGGAGAGCAAGGATGAGTTCAAGCACGAATTCTCTGTGAGAATGAAATGTGTAGCTCTGAGTGTTCTTGCATGTGCATGCTAGTTTCTAGTTCTGAAAGTTTATATTTTATAAATCTACTGTCTTAATACGTGGAAGATTAGTGTGTTACCCTGATCAGCATCCATTGGGGATGGAACAGTAAGTGCTGGGAAAAGGAGGAAAGAGAAGATGGCTATGAATGACGATGGCCACAACACCGACAATTCTACTTCTTTATTTTCTGTAGCAACGTGTAATCTTTTCCTACCTCTGGATGGAATTACCATATTAGATTATCAAAATCTCATAAAGTGACACCATACATATGTAATCCCAGCACTCAGTAGGCAGACACAGAATCATAAGTTGTAGGCCAGCATGGGTTACACAGCAAAACCCTGTCTCATAAAACCAAGGGCTGGAAATAAAGCTCAGACGTAGAGCAATGCCTAGCATCGCAAAGCTCTGGGTTTGATTCCTAGTATTAAACTAACAAGAAGCAAGCAAGCTCTTAGATTAAGGGAGTTTTGGAGTTTTGTGGGGGTGGAGGGCTGGTCATTTGGTTTACACTTCCACATCACAGTCCATCTCTGAAGAAAGTCAGGACAGTAATTCAAACAGGACAGGAACCTGGAGGCAGGAACTGATGCAGACAGAGGCCATGGGGCAGGCGTGGGAGGAGGAGTGGGCTGCTGCTTACGTTTATTTTCATAGGCTTAAAGAAATAAATACACATTTAGATAAGATTGCTAAAATTCCCCAAAAATGAGGAAACTGAACTTCCAAGACTTTCAAAGTGCTAAAAAATGATATTTAAAAACCCCATCCAAATGCCAGGCATGGTAGAGCAAGTTTTTAATGCCAGCAGGCAGATCTTTGTAAGTTCAAGACTAGCCTGGTCTACATAGCAAGTTCCAGGCTACTCAGGACTACATAGTCTTTTTTAAAACTTACTTTTATTTCTCCTCTGTGGCTTTCACATCATACATTTCAAGCCCATTCATCTCCCCATCACTTCACATCCGCCCTCTGCCCTTGCAATCTCCCCCCCAAAAAAAGAAAAGAAAACTGAAGAAAAAAGAAAAGAAAAGAAAAATCTCACTGTGGAAGCTGCAGTGTATGACAGTGAGTCACACAGTAAACCCTTTAGCCCACATACCTTTACTTGCAAACGTTCATTGCAAAGAGTCATGGGTCTGGTTTGAGGCCTCTGGCTTCTGCTACACTGTGGATATTGGGCCCTCACTGGGACTCCTCTCGCATATCCTGTTGTCCTGTGTTGTGGAGATCCTGTAGCTTTGGACCTGCATGTCCAGCCCTTTCGCATGCTCTAGCAGTTCATAGAAGGGGTAGATGTTGAGGTGAGCCAACTCAGAACCCTGGTTCTGGGCAGGGTTGGTCATCCTGACAGTTCTCCCCAGTCCTCACCACCAGGCTGAACTCTCCAGCACTGCCCCAGCTGTCCTGTGAGGCTCTCAGGGTCAGCTCACCTCCACCTCCATCACCAGAGACAGCGCTACTGTGCTACCCAGGTGAGGTGCAGGGGCCACTCTCCTGAGTGCTGCAGCTAGTGAAGAGCAAGGACAGCACCCCTGTTCTTCCGACCTCAGGGCAGCGAAGGGGTGGGGGAGCATCTCTCCCTTGGAAGTTGAGAGGTAGGTCAGATCTCCCAAACTCATCTTCTCGGGCTGGTTCACCCACACCCTGCCAACAGGGTCAGTTCTACTGTGCTGCCCGGGCGAGGTGCAGGGCCAGCTTTTCTGAGTGCTGCAGCTGGTAACAGATGGGGGGGGGGGAGCTCAGCTCCCTCGCCTGCCGCAGATGGCAGGGATGAGGGGGCAGGGCATCTTTCCCTTGCCCTCACCACCACCTGGAAGACAGGGGAGGGGCAATAGCCAGCTATCCCACTCTCACAGGAGGGTCAGCTCCTTCATCTGCCACAGGCAGAGAGGGTCGAGGGGCAACGGGGGCAGTGAAACTCTCTCTTAAAACGAAAAGAAAAATATTTTAAGAATTCAAGGTCATATAATTTATGCAAATGTGTTAATAATTAAGACTAATTTAATAATTTATGTACTAAAATCAGTTATATCTTATTTATCATTTGCACGTATAATATACAGGAGTATTTTTAGTCTGCTTAGATATGTTCTTCCTAAATATTTACAGGTTCATTGACTGAATGAGCTAGCATTACTTCTAACAAATGTTTAATAGTATGCAAAATGTACATTTGTTTAACCAAGTCGAGCCATTATTATGGCAAACTAATTTCAACAGTAATTGTGTTTTGTATTCTACCAGTTTAAGATAATTTGTAAGATCTTAAGGTAACTGAAAACTCTGGCTGATGCCTAATTTAATTATTTCTAAGGAAATGTTGACACATTAGCGCAGAACCTTGGGCTTATGTGCATTTGCTTCTTATTTGTGCACGCGTGTATGAATATATGGTACATTTATGTGTTTATGTGTGATCACATACATGTGGCTGCACATGTGTGCACTTGCATGTGGACGTCAGAGGTTAATGTTGGGTGTCTCAATCTTTCTCTTATTTAATGAAGAAGTGTTTTACTTAAGTTGGCCCTCATAGATGCAGCCAGCTTGCCCTAGGGCTCCTCTGTCACCACCTCCTGAGCACTGGGATTACAGGCGACCCACAGAGTCTACCTGGCTTTTATATGGACTGGCGATCCAAATTCTGGTCCTGATGCTTAGGCAGTAAGCATTTATCCACTCCTTAGCTCTGCTTTTATTTATGGAAGTTACAGGAAGCTATATATAAGTATGTTAAAAGATGTGTTCTTTTTGCCACCAAGAGAGACGTTGAATTAGAAAGGATACAGAAAGTTGTAGAGGTTTCACAAAAGAGAGTTATAGTTGTTTACATCAGAGCTGGCTAAATTTTGGTGTGTAATTTATCACATTTCTGACAAGAACTTTAATTTCAAGCATATTGATGAAAAAGCCAGTTTTGTTATTTCTGTATTTAAAAGACAAAGAATTTTGAATTCTTGGTCCATTCTTACAGCAAGCTGGGAATGCTTTGCCGTACCTGCTGGAAGATCTTCTTAGATAACAAAGATTCTGTGTCTTCCCAGAATTGCTTTCCTTAGTTTCCTACTTTTCCCTTTCACTGGCCTCGCATATGGTAAACAAGCCCTCTTTTTTGGGATATATTCCCATATTTCTCTATTACTTAAGAAAGCAAAGGGGCTGGAGAGATGGCTCAGTGGTTAAGAGCACTGCCTGCTCCTCCAAAGGTCCTGAGTTCAATTCCCAGCAACCGCATGGTGGCTCACAACCATCTGTAAAGAGGTCTGGTGCCCTCTTCTGGCCTGCAGGCATACACACAGACAGAATATTGTATACATAATAAATAAATATTAAAAAAAAAAGAAAGCAAAGTCTTCTCACTTAGGAAGGAACTAAGGGCTTTAGGCTTACTTCTTATATGGAAAATATTTTATTGTTACTTAGAACAGAGAGCCAAGCATTATTTTTAACAGCCCATCACCCTATCTTCATCAAGTCTCAGAGGGCCGGGAGGAAAAACCCACAAAGGATTTTTGTCTGACTTCATAAAGAAAGAGGCACCTATGTCTGTTGGCTTTGTGTGGTGTTACTACTGCAGTATGGCATAGGTGGAGCTGTCAGGTCAGAAGTGGTGATTTGCCTCTCCTAGGTTAAAATGGCAAAATGGTATCAATATAAATATTTCATAAGCTGTATGCTGTATGAGATCATCCATGTCTCCACAGGCCATGATATGTTTCTATTTGTCAGAGTTCAGCTTG